TATTTTTATTATCTGGAATAAGTACGGAAACTAAAAATAAAGTGGGTTTTTTCCTTAAGTTTATTAAACAAATTTTATAGGACTTCAAACAAACCTCATACGCATGTACTTATTATTTCGGCCAGTAGTGTATATAGCAGTGAGAGTATATAGAAGACTATATGCAAAGTCTCATTCAGATAGCTTTAAAACTGAGGGACTAGTTTGCGTAGAAACCGACAGACGGACATGGCTAGATCGACTCGGCTGTTGATGCTGATCAAGAATATATATACTTTATAGGGTCGGAAACGTCTCCTTCACTGCGTTGCAAACTTCTGACTGAAATTATAATACCCTGCAAGGGTATAAAAATCAAGAAAAATGTCACAAGTATGTCCACAACAAATTGGCCATATAGCACGTCTATATCATATAGCTGCTGTTAAAAATTAACATTTAGTATGAACAACTTTTGTGTTTTTTCAAAATATCTAAACCAAATTCACAAATTATATGTTTGGTGTAGGTTTATATATTCTTAGCAAATTTGGTTTAAATCGGATATTTATATCTTATAGCTCCCATACAAAATTAATTCGATGCAAAACTGACCACTTTTCAAAAAAATGTTTTGGCGAAACGGCTAGAGTAAGTTTAAGGTTTTTTTTTTTTTGAAAGTTGAACTTTGAATATACACACACAAGTTTTACATCGATCATAGGAATATTAACGAAGTTATGCAGAGTTGAACGAAGGTCGGTTGGTGTTAAATGCATGAGAATCACAAAGTTTAAAGCGCTCTCCTGAAAAATGCCATTTTGAAAATCGGTGTACACGATAACTCAAAATCTACTGAACCAATCTGTTTGAAATTTGGAACATAACTTCTTTAGATAAATCTACAGGTACTCACGTCGAGCTTTTTTTAATTTTTAATTTTATTATATTTTTTATTTAACAAATTATCTAATTTTTGGAGTCAAAAATCGGGGTTTTGACTTCAAATTTTGATAAAAAATCGGGAAAATTTTTTAAAAATAAAAACGCTTTGTGAATACCTCGGGACACTTATCCTTTAACGAATAAGGTATAACTTTTTTAGATCGTATGATTCTGTGGACTGTTAGGATGTACACCGCAAACCAACTATTTTTGGAGACGACTCAGGAGATTTCCTATACTCCTATACCTCTAAATATTTCTCAATAAAAAATTTTTAAAAAACTGTTCAAATGTTGTGTTATTATATGGTATTTAATTCGTTAAGCTAACTTTAGCCGTTTTGCCACAACTTTTTATTGAAAAGTGGGCATTTTTGCACCGAATTAACCTTACCTTACTTATAAAGAGGGGATCGGGGGCCAACATATCTCAAAATCTACTTAAACAGACAAAATGACGAGTACGTTTGTTCACTTTAAAGTGCAGATTTGATGTGACGCAAAACCACTTTAACGTTGCTGTCCTGTTAAATTGAACACGTGTTAACGCATTCTATTCTATTTTTAGAAAGTCCCCTTAGAATTCCGGGAAAAACTGGTTTGCCAATGCAAAATTTTGACAATTTAGAGCTGATTTGCTTACATTTTGACGTAATATTTTTAGATTGATTTTTTGATTTTTGGACTATGGACGCAACCACTGTGCACTGATTTGAATTGTAAACAAATATGAAATGTATGCTGAAACATTAAGAAATATATTATAACATATAACATTAATATTTTTATCATTAACCCAATAGTGAATATGCCCATATTGTTAGGGTAACACGCATACATGTAAAGGCGTGACGCTAACAGCTGACAGGGGGCCCGTCGCTAAGACCTAAAATCTAACAGGGGGCCTGTCGCTAACAGCAAATAGCTAACATGGGGCCTGTGGCTAAGAAATTTTCGCGTCCATTTTCGTTGTATGAAATGACTAGTCTGTATGTTGTATGGTTAGTGCTATAACCTTGGACCGCATGGAGGCGGCTTAGGTAATCAATTTTTTTGTTTAAATGTTTATTATATATGTCCTTGAGACTATCAGCAACACAGTACATTTTTTTCCTAATGTTTCCCATTAAAAAAAATATTTATATGTTGCACTTACAAAATAATTACTTCCTCCGAGTTGCACAAATTTTCAGCTTCAAATGAATACAGCAGCTTGCGCTAGCTCTAGTACGTATTCCAAAACGCAACGAACTTAATTTTTGGACTTCCCTGAATTAGAAAAACGGAAAACCGAGTGAAAAGGAATGAAAATAATAAAATAACGGTGTTTTTACATTACCCGTCTAGAGGCAGTCTTGGGCACTAGAGGGTCATTGTGGGTCGTAACTAATTATAAAATTCTTTAAAAAACAAGAATGCAAGCCAACTTCGGCACGCCGAAGTTTGTATACCCTTGCAGTTTGCAATTGGATCATTAAGAATCGAGACATTCTGGTTAAATTAATTAATAAATTAAATTAAGTTAAATTAAACACAAAAAAAAGTTTAATTACATTTTACCTATACTTATTATGTTTACAGATTGAGAGTTACAGTTTTACATTCCCAGCTTTAAATTTTCTCTATATCTACCGTTCGTTTTTATGGGAGCTATATGATATAGTTGTCCGATTTTCATAAAATTTACACCAAAATTCTGAAATAATAAAAAAATTCTCATATCTCAGAGTTGATGAAAATACGTTGAAAAACAACGAAGTTATAATTTTTTTTCTTTTAAGGGGGGGGTAAGGTATTTAATTTTTTTTTTCGTAAATTTTTTTTTTTTTTTTTTTTTAAAGTTTAACATCTTAAGAATATTGTGTCCAAGTTTTAGCGGAGTTGAACGAAGGTCGGTTGGTGATTAATGCATGGGAATCACAAAGTTTAAAGCGCTCTCCTGAAAAATTCAATTTTTCAAATCGTTGTACACGATTACAGAAAAACTACTGGACCGATCGATTTGAAATTTGGCACACACATTCTTTAACTAATTCCTCAGGTATTCACGTCGGCCTTTTTTTAATTTTTAATTTTTATATATTTTTAAATTAAGAAATAACGTTTTTTTTTAGTCAAAAATCGGGTTTTTGACTTTCAAATTTCATAAAAAATCACAAAAAAACTAAAAAAAAAAAACGCTTCGTGAATACCTCGGGACACTTATCCTTTAACGAATGAGGTATAATTTTTTTAGATCGGATGATCCTGTGGACTGTTAGGATGTACACCGCAAAACAACTTTTTTTGGAGGCGACTCTGGAGATTCCCTATAACTTCTCTACCTCTAAATATTTTTCAATACAAAATTTATCAAAAATTATTCAAATGTTGTGTTATTATATGGTATTTAATTCATTAAGCTAACTTTAGCCGTTCCGCCACAATAATTTTTTGAAAAGTGGCCTTTTTTGCACCGAATTAACCTTACCCCCCCCTTAATGTCCCCATCGTTCCTATGGCAGCTATAAGATATAGTCGTCCGATTTTCATAAAATTTAAACCAAAATTCTGAAATAATGAGAAATGGCCATATCTCAAAAAATTATTAAAATATATTAAAAAACAGTCTTACAATTTTTTTTCTTTAAAATTATCGAACATTTGTATGGCAGCTATATGATATAGTCGTCCGTTCCGGCCCGGCCCGGACAGACGAACATGGTTAGATCGACTCTGCTGTTAATGCTTGTCAAGAATATATATACTTTATAGGGTCGGAAATGTATCCTTCACTGCGTTGCCAACTTCTGACTGAAATTATAATACCCTGCAAGGGTATAAAAAACAGGAAAAACATAAATTTACAGGCTGCAATAATTAACACCGCCATGACCACATTCTTTGGAACAAATGTATCCACTTAAACTATCGGAATAGTTCCTAGAAGCCATGATTTGCATGGTAGAAGCCCAAAAATAAAATCCTTGCCTTCACCTATCAACATGGAGCTATTTTCTGTGATAAAACGTATTTGTACCCAACTTTAGAGTATTCAGAGCAAGTAATATTGAGTAAAGAAGTTTTTCAATGTTTTGGGGTCGGAAGGAAAAAGCCCTCCAGTTAAAAAATGATACAGCAACAGTAAAATCAGATTTCTTCCGAAAAAGGAACTTAAAATTATAATGCGAAAGAAATTGGCGAATATATCCTAAAAGAGGTGTCCAAAATGAGTAGTCAATGCAAATACGATTATAAGCTATTAAATAAAACAAAGGATTGCACATAAGATATAACACAATAAATAAGTAATCAAGTAAACGAATATTTTTGTGACATGAAATTTTCTAGTTCAAATGAATTACTTAAAAAAAAAACATCAATGAAGCTAGGTTTTTAACAACTTTTTGTTGTTTTCGTAATGTTAAATATCTGAGTAACCTAAAATAAAAACTAAAATTATAAATTTAATAATTAATCATTAAAAAAATAACATATTTATTCGTCGGGTACCGGCAACGAATACTTTTGTGACACACTGTATGTACGTATTTTACAGGAAAGTGGTGCAGTTTTTTTTAATTGCTAATACAATACTACAAAATTTCTGATTTAACATAAAGATTTAAAGTTATAAACAAAAAAACAAAATAAGGCACTTACTGTGCACTTTTATTATACAATATTGATATAATTAACTGCCTGTAGTCGTCTGGGCATCGAAGCCACCATCCTACTTCTTCTACCTTAATTTTGCCCACTCTTCATGTAGCCTCTATTTAAGGACTAATTATTGCGTGTTCTCGACCTTTTCGCTCAAAATTTTCCAAACATGATCTATAATATTGAAGTTTTGGCATTGGAGTGGTAAAAATAGTTGACGATGACTATAATACACTTCACTTTTTTCAGTTTCTTTTTTTGCTTTTTGTTTATAACTGCATCATTACTTTTCCTGTAAAAGGTATAGGATTGGAATTTTTTTTAAATGTGTCGTATGTAGACTTTTGTCCGCCACTGTATGTACCTATGCACAAAACGAGGAACAACACTACAAAGAAAATAGGCTTAAGTAAATAATAAATAAATTAAACTTACACAACGCCGTAAATATAAGTTGTGCATGCTTCCGTAGCTCAGAGTAAGATGATTCAAGTATTTTGGTTAGCCAATGTCGTACATTAATTTCAGAAATTTGAATGTTGGCCTTCTTGAGATAACAAATAAGAAGACGATATCCAAGAGCACGACTTTTACGTTCTTGAAGATTAGTAGTAATAAGTTGTTCCATGTTTACGCCCTTAAAAAACAAAATATAAGTAATTTAGTAAACCGTAAACAAATTCCTACCTACTGAATAAACACTAAAACCTCATGTCTTGTGAAGCAGTAGAGCTGTAAGAACGTCGATAGTAATATCGATAGTATCGATTGTGGCTGTGCATCGCAAACCTCGATTTTTTTACCTTCGATATATCGCGTAACAAGTTGCACCATCACTACTTGTGATGGGTGGTGCAACAAAGGCCGAAAATCAAGAAAGAAAAGGTAATTTTTTGTAATAGGGTCTTCCCACACACCGTCAAAGCGCATCTGGCATCCGTTGAACAAACGGTCCATAAGGTTTTGCCGTTCCGAATTTTCTCAATTGGACCTGCATCAAAGCGCATCTAAATGTAACGACCGTTTGTTTGGCGATAGTTAGGCGATAGTTTTTCGGTGCAACTCTGAAAATTTGATCAACACTACGAAAGTGTATACACACTTGGCGAGAAACAAATGAGATTTGGAATTTAAAATGTGGCGCCAAAGCTACAAGCATGCCCAAAATAGTTGTTGGCGTTTTTTCTGTATATTCTTGCCCCAATATGTCCCCAATTGTTACTATTTAATATAAACCACCTGCCTCTACCTTATTTTGAAGATTTTGGATGCCTATACCACCTATAGACACACTTCGGAGAATTTGCTCTTTGTTAGAGAAAAATCATTCGAAAAACTAAAATTCCTTGTCATTTAATTCATTTAAATTTAGTGCGGATAAATTCTGACGCAATCTGTGCCTTTTCCTGTTGTACAACAGCCAAAATAGTTGGTAAATGCTCCATTTCAAATTTGCAACTGCCAATTCGACAGTCTTTGTTTACGTTTTCATGAGCCCACAGCTGATCGATCAGCTGTTCGGATGCCAGATGCACTTTGACGCTCTGTGGGAACACGAGTTTCGCATCTGCGAAAAATCCCAAACGTTCCTCACAGATGCGCTGTGTGGGAAGACCATATAAAGCGCATTTAGCATCCGTTGAACAAATGCTCCATAAGGTTTTGCCGTTCCGAATTTTCCCAAATGGGACGGCGTTAGTTCAGCATTAAAATCTAACCACGGTTTGTTTGGCGATAGTTAGGCGATAGTACTTCGGTGCAACTCTGAAAATTTGACCATCACTACGAAAGTGTATACACACTTGGCGAGAAACAAATGAGAAATGGAATTTAAAACGTGGCGCCAAAGCTACAAGCATGCCCAAAATAGATGTTGGCGTTTTTTCTGTATATTCTTTCCCCAATATGTCCCCAATTGTTACTATTTAATATAAACCGCCTACCTCTACCTTATTTTAAAGATTTTGGATGCCTATACCACCTATAGACACTCTTCGGGGAATTTGCTCTTTGTTAGAGAAAAATCATTAGAAAAACTAAAATTCCTTGTCATTTAATTCATTTAAATTTATTGCGGATAAATTCTGACGCAATCTGTGCATTTTGCTGTTGTACAACAGCCAAAATAGTTGGTAAATGCTCCATTTCAAATTTGCAACTGCCAATTCGACAGCCTTTGTTTACGTTTTCATGAGCCACAGCTGATCGATCAGCTGTTCGGATGCTAAATGCGCTTTAAGAGGGTTTCCTGAATTAGGAGGCAAAAAAAATCGATTTTTTTTATTGCTTAAATCGATAGATAAACTATCTAAGAATATACCACAAAAATTTCAGAAGCAAATTCGAAGTATTTTCGAAGATACAGGGATGAAAGCAAAGGAGCGCCGAGCAGGTTTGCAGGCGCTTTGCGAACTTTGAAGCGCGTTTTCTCCACTTTTCATTTTTACGATTCTTTCGAATTGGCGGGAAAGATAACAAAAAACTTATTGACCGATTGAAATGAATAAAGGCTTATTCTCTTTAGAATTAAATTCTCTTCTAGTTGAACTAAAACGGTTGTTGAAAACCGCTTTTTTATATTTTTTACAGCATGTTAAAGTCAATATTTTATCCCGAAAAATGAATTTTTTTTTAACATGCTGTAAAAAATATTAAACTCGGTTTTCAACAACCGTTTTAGTTCAACTAGAAGAGAATTTAATTCTAAAGAGAATAAGCCTTTATTCATTTCAATCGGTCAATAAGTTTTTTGTTATCTTTCCCGCCAATTCGAAAGAATCGTAAAAATGAAAAGTGAGAAAACGGGCCTCAAAGTTCGCCAAGCGCTCGCAAACCTACCCGGCGCTCCTTTGCTTTCATCCCTGTATCTTCGAAAATACTTCGAATTGGCTTCTGAAATTTGTGTGGTATATTCTTAGATAGTTTATCTATCGATTTAAGCAATAAAAAAAAAATCGATTTTTTTTGCCTCCTAATTCAGGAAACCCCCTTAAAGCGCATTTAGCATCCGAACAGCTGATCGATCAGCTGTGGCTCATGAAAACGTAAACAAAGGCTGTCGAATTGGCAGTTGCAAATTTGAAATGGAGCATTTACCAACTATTTTGGCTGTGGTACAACAGCAAAATGCACAGATTGCGTCAGAATTTATCCGCAATAAATTTAAATGAATTAAATGACAAGGAATTTTAGTTTTTCTAATGATTTTTCTCTAACAAAGAGCAAATTCCCAGAAGAGTGTCTATAGGTGGTATAGGCATCCAAAATCTTTAAAATAAGGTAGAGGCAGGCGGTTTATATTAAATAGTAACAATTGGGGACATATTGGGGCAAGAATATACAGAAAAAACGCCAACATCTATTTTGGGCATGCTTGTAGCTTTGGCGCCACGTTTTAAATTCCATATCTCATTTGTTCCACGCCAATTTGTTTACATTTTCGTGGTGAATGGTCAAATTAAGAAGAAGAATTAGAGTTGCACCGAAGAACTATCGCCTAACTATCGCCAAACAAACCGTGGTTAGATTTTAATGCTGAACTAACGCCGGCCCATTTGGGAAAATTCGGAACGGCAAAACCTTATGGAGCATTTGTTCAACGGATGCTAAATGCGCTTTAATGTTGTGTGGGAAGACCCTATAAAATATTAATAAATATGGCATTAAAATGTCCTTGACAGCCCCTATCAATGCCACTTTTTTCCTTCAAATTTCCCTCCATTATACTGTCTTCCCACACAGCACATTTGTGAGGAACGTTTGGGATTTTTCACAAATGTGAAACTCGTGTTCCCACACACCGACCACATTCACCATCCGATCAGCTGTGGCTCATGAAAACGTAAACAAAGACTGTCGAATTGGCGGTTGCAAATTTGAAATGGAGCATTTACCAATTTATTTTGGCTGTTGTACAACCGCAAAAGCACAGATTGCGTCAGAATTTATCCAGGTTACTATTTAATATAAGCCGCCTACCTCTACGTTATTTTAAAGATTTTGGATGCCTATACCACCTATAGACACTCTTCGGGGAATTTGCTCATTGTTAGAGAAAAATCATTAGAAAAACGAAAATTCCTTGTCATTTAATTCATCTAAATTTAGTGCGGTTAAATTCTGACGCAATTGCGATTGCAACTTGCGATTGTACAACAGCCAAAATAGTTGGTAAATGCTCCATTTTAAATTTGCAACTACCAATTCGACAGTCATTATTTACGTTTTCATGAGCCTCAGCTGATCGATCAGCTGTTCGGATGCGCTTTAACGCTGCTCTATGGGAACACGAGTTTCACTTTTTTTTAAAATCCCAACCGTTCCTCAAAAATCACTGTGTGGGAAGAACGATGGATCGATAATGGAATACCCTAAATATTTTTCTTCGTTCTTGATTTGACTCTTACTCGCCGATACTACCTTGACACATTAAAATCTTCACATTGTTTTGATTTTGATTAATAAATCTTCAAATTGCTGTAATTGCAATCATGAGCATTGCTCTTAAATTAGTTCCTTTAAAGACATCAATCGGTTTTATTAACCGTAGGATCATAGAAAATAACATATTTAAAAGAAACAGCCATGTGTATGTAATTTAAAACAACCCATTTCAATATTGGCTTACATAATATTTCTAGTGTTTCTTATCGTAATGCTCCACCACCGCATTCCAAAGCAACAAGGATTGGAGCTGTAGCTGTTGGCGCTACAATGTGGTGGTGGGTTCTTTGGCACTTGTGGCACGAACCGGATCATATAACGGTATACCCTCATATATCAAAATTGTACATATTAAATTTTTGTTTTTTTTTTTCACAGGGAGAGTTTGACTATCCAAATCCAAAAACATGGAGCAACTCAGAGTTGGGTATCCCAAAGGATGATTTATAAACAGTTGGCTTTATTAAAGGAGGGTAGCCAAAGCTGATTTAAAATATTCAATAAATTTAGCTATTTAGCCTCATTAATTATTACGTGATTTTTATTATAGCTTTTTGATCATAGAGATGATCGAGCTACCATTTCCTGATCGGATGGATCATGAGGGTTGTCTTTTTTGTAAATATCTGGCTAGTTCAACAAAATTTTAAATTCTTTCCCTTGTCTGTGCACTACTGGAATTTGCCGATTTTGATGGTACAAATTAATAATTTTAAGCAAAGTAATATTTTTTAAACCGTTTTTTTTTATAATGGGTATAGAGTCTATTTTGTTTATATAGAAAAGTTTATAAGGTGACCGTCAATGTTATTGCAAAATTTTGCATTTTTAAAATTTGTAAGGCCTTTGTTAGACATTAAATACGAAACGTGAATCTAGAATTTCCTCTAACAGTCTTTGCTCTTTCCTTGCGCTTCCTCACTTTTAGTCGCTCCTGCCTCAGCGCATAATAGCCTGAGCGACCCATTTATCTTGCATCACAAACATTCGCAAGCCGCGGCCACTTTTAAAATTCTTTAAAACATAAATGTATTTTAAATAATTAAAAATAATATTTACTAACAAGATGATGATTAGTAAAATAAACTTTAAACATAAATATTGGCGCTACAAAAGTATCTTTCGCCACAGCAAGCGCTACAAAAATACCCCCACCAAGATCAGACTTGGGGTCAACACTCCAAGACTGATAAAACAACTTGCGAGGCTACTGTTTTATGTCCTTGGCATAGAACCTACCAACATAACTCCCCTGCAAGTCTTTGAGATCATAGTAAGCTTGTCCAATCTTTTTCTTCACCCTTGCTTTCATAAAAGACGGACCTAATTTCGCGTTATACCCTGTTGCAAAATTGCTC